GTAGCGAGTAATATGCAAATCTGTTTTTTTAAGTAAACCAATTGTCCTCTCAATAACATTACGTAGAGATGAATGTCGAAAATTGAACAATGCATTACCACTTTCTGGACGTTCACCCACAATGTCTCCAGGATGATAACGACCTCTACGATATGGTGACAGAAATCCGGGAACCAATGGAAAGCTGGCGTGACAAGATAATATTTACCTATTAAAGAGTTGCTCATTACATAGTCGTTATTTAATTATTATAACTAGTACGAGAAAGAAATATTTTCACATTAGTGATACAACTTACCAAAAAGAATTGTTAGCTTATGTCCTTGGCGATCATCGCTGCTATCCAAGTCCTCCTGACAAACATCTTCTACGTCATCAATCCTTAAGAAGTTATGGATGGCAAAACAAGCAAGGACCATTACGTAGCGAGTAATATGCAAATCTTTTTTTTTAAGTAAACCAATTGTCCTCTCAATAACATTACGTAGAGATGAATGTTGAAAATTGAACAATGCATTACCACTTTCTGGACGTTCACCCACAATGTCTCCAGGATGATAACGACTTCTACGATATGGTGACAGAAATCCGGGAACCAATGGAAAGCTGGCGTAACAAGATAATATTTACCTATTAAAGAATTGCTCATTACATAGTCGTTATTTAATTATTATAACTAGTACGAGAAAGAAATATTTTCACATTAGTGATACAACTTACCAAAAAGAACTGTTAGCTTATGTCCTTGGCGTAATATTGCACTCCGTAACAATCAACCATCATGTGCGGATCCCTGTGAACCAGCAAGCACTTATGTAAACTTTTTATCAAATGTGCAAGCTACTAAAACATTTTGAGAAATCAGTTGCTTTCTATTGCAATACCTAGCTTGCTCTTCTAAAGGGACGTTTGTAGCAATATATGTACCCACTATTTCCCCTATGACATCCTTTAAAAAGAATGCTTTTCAAAATATTATAATATTGAACTTCTAAGAAATATAATGAAATAACTACGATCCCCTAACCTAAAAAAAGGAGTACAATCGCTTCACATTTTCCTTCTCATATGGTGAGTTATGAATAGTGACATTAATCACAACATCTCTATACAATCCAAGACAAGCGTGTAATACCCTATGGAAGTAAACAGATCGAAAGAAAGTGAAACGTCCAGCTCAATTACATTGGTCATGCCCAACGATATTCAAAAAAATAGCCACTTGTTCCTCAATTCTAACATATTTACTATCAACCAATCCATAAGTTCACAAACAAGCAGAGTCTTTGAAACGGACCTATTTTCATCCTAAGTAAATCATGACATAATGTATCACTCGTACCAAACATTCGTGTAAGTGTCATTTCTCTTTCAGAATCCCAATTTGTATGAGGAGCCCTAGGGAGATGTCGTTCACGACGCCTAATATAATTATATATAACAATCGCTTGCATGACTATAATCCAAAATAAACCTAAATGTTCTCGTTGGAGACGACGTTGATTCCTTGTTGTAGCCATGTTACGCACTACCACGATAAATAAAAATACAATAAAATGAACATATAAATTACATATTATGATTATACAAACAAATAATAAATTTAATCATTCGGTCACATTTTATATTATAATTATACAATTTCAACAAACGCCTACCAAATTCGAACAAAGAACCACAATCTGTTTCTCCAGTAGTGCTCCAGCAAATAATGTTAATACCTGCAAAATGGAAATAGTAATAAGCAATATGTAAATAACCTAATATTGTGGGTGACATTTTATTTTCTAACAAAAAATGGATAAAAAACGTCAAGATGCTACAAAACTAAAAGGTAAGGTGTTGGCGCTGTCAAAATAATAGATTGGGGATCAAGCAATTTGATCATAATGGAAAAGAAAAGAGATTGATTGAAAGGAAATAAAAATAAACAAAAAGATGCCAGTTTTTAGATAGTTATGTCAAAGTATGAAGTGTGCGTCATAAAAAGATTACCTATTTATGATCAAATATGATATGTTAAATCTATTACACAAGCTTAAATTCAAGAAACATTAAACATGACAGTGGAGCTTTATTTGATAGAAGCATTGTTTATGCCTTTTGACACAATTGTCAAACGCTTTCCATGGGGCACCTTAGGGTTCCTAGTTGGGCAAAAGATATTTCAGACACTTGAACAATCAAGTTACTTGACCAAAAACAATAGATTATACTATTCCATGCTCCGTCTTCGCATGTGATGATGCCAAAAATCGTACATGTTGATCCCGAGCTTGACGACTGAGAACAAGCACGAATGAGGCATTCCGATACCTGAAACAAGTTAAGTCCTTCCAGGACTCCCCCTCCAACACCTATAAATACATAACAGCATGTATTCGGTTTCATGCTCCTACTTTGACGAGAAAATCAAAAGCTAAAATTCAAGTTCATCTAACATCACACAAGTTTAAAATTATAAAATTCCAAGAAAAATACCCATTAAACATAAGGGAAAAAATATAATTCCCAGATATTTTGGCAGTATCACTGAACCAAAATATAAATAAACCAATATTCTGTCACTAAACTGCAGATATAGGTGTAAAAATCATAAATTTTTGGCACTTCACAGAACAAAACTATAAATATACAAATTTTCTATCACTACCCTATTGAAATAGGTTTAAAATTGTCTGAATTATCATTCACAAATAAAAGATGTTGATTAAAAGCTAACATTCAAGTTCAAAGCAAGAGGAATCAAATAATATAATACAATTCAGCAGCAGGACTCGTGCCTAATTGAATTGCAAAGGCGCGCAGTAAACTCATGGAGTCCAAACATCCTGATCTCAAATATTCAAAAACCCAAATAAGTAGAAGATAAAGATTATTTAAATCAAGATTGAAGCTCTGAAGTGGACAATCAATAGAATTTCAAAAATAATTATAATCCAAACTCTAAAAATTTTCCAATTGAAACAATAATTATAAGCACAAAATGCATGGAATGAGGCATGCGTATAATTATTGACCTCATCGAAGATCTCGCCAGCGGAGAGTAGAACCTGAATAATACAGAGCAATCGATTGGAGAGGGCATAAGAACAGAATTAAGCCTTTGTTTGAGTTTTTTATTGCATAGATTTTTGGTTTCTTCTTCCTGGTTCGGTCGAGTGATTAGATGAGACAGGGTAAGGGTTTTGTACGTGGGTCGAGATAAGAGAGAGATAGGGTAACATGTGTTGGTAGAATATTTGATAAACTAGAATTTTTGAAAAGAATGAATTCCATGAAAAATAAAATCCTACTCCACCCATATAAAATTTAGTCACGTGATCAAAAGTAAGAAAACATTTTCCATGAAAATAAATGTTAATCAAACACTACAAAAGTAAGAATTTTGATGAAAAAAATGGCATTTTTCATAAAAAAATATTGACAATCAAACTCACCCTAAATGTGTGGCAGCAAGATGAGTTCACTGAGGATGGTTTGTAATAGACAGTCTGTTTACCGTCAATAGACATTAAACAAACCGTCAATTTAATAATGCATAGACTATATTCTTTCCCATAATTCTGCACAAAAATCATAAAGCTGTCCACTAATTTATTCACATATACCTAAGGAGAGAAAATTTTCAAATAGTTAAAATGTTGGTTACGAATAACTGTTCATGAGATGCTTTTGTTGAGTTTTGAGGATATGCATGAGCAAGTAAAATACAAAAATTAGTGATATTTTGGAATTGGAGGAGAGATTTAAGTGATAATGAAAATGAAAGAGTCGTTGGACTATTTAAAATTTGAATTGGATTATCTTCAGATATTTCCTTTTGTAATTGGAGGGGTATTCATATCTTTTTATCTTAAGATTATTTTAATGATTATAAAACCCTAAAAAGGTTAATTTTGTCTTTCTCTATGAAAGAGACCGTTGACATTTAAAATTTGTAAATTAGGTTGATTGGAAAATTGGCACCGTTGACCTTGTTTTCAAGGATTTTTTACTTTTCATTTATTTTTAACATTTTTCTCAATAGTTTTTTATTGACGTTCTTGAACTTTAACTTTTTTTTTTTATTGATTGATTTTCCAAAATGCAAACGAGTTGTCTCACTTGGAGCTATAGTAGAAATATGCAAATCATAAAAGCTGAAGCTTGATTTCATAGGAAGAGCTTGTGTTGTTACTGTGTTCCAATTGAATGTCAATTTTATAAAAGATATTTTAAAAAGGAATGTGTAAAACACTAATAGAAAGAAAAGGAATGTGTACTACGTTGCAAAATACTTTGAATGGCTAATTTAACCTAACACAACATTCTCAATGGTAGATTTAGGTGTTTTCAACCATTTAAGTGCTAAAATATCAACATTTTTTATTAAAAAAAGACCACTATAATTTTTAAATTTTAATAAAAATAAATATAAATACAGAGAATAAATAAAAAGAAAAGTGAAAAAGACCAAAAAACAAAAAAGAACAATTAAAGAAAAAACAAGTTTTCATCATTTTCTATTCAACCCCTACCTACTTCGAAATTGATTTTACCCATGCTCCACGCCTCCATAAAAAAGACAATATATAAATATTTCACATATTTGTCTTCATTAATCATGTAAAATCAAAAGATGCCCAAATAGAACTTTCAAGTACAAAAGTTCATTTCAAGTAAAGAAAATATCTACCCACGCGAACGCCTAAAGAAGACATGATCATCTGCTCAAGCAAATTTTTTTACTTTTTTTTTTCTACAAACTGAAAGTCATAACATTCAAGATTATACTCGATTATACAAGCACAAACTATTGCACAACACCATACATAGGTAATACAACAAATCCCACTGCTATCTCCCTCAAAGTTGTTGCTCTATGATCTCCCCAGCGTAAACACACGCAAGAGAGAGAGAGAAGCAGCGAAAATAGATAAGTATAAAATTAGAACTTACACACAATAGATACACTAATGGCAAATACACATGTTCAAGTTCAAAGGGATTTTTCATTCTTAATCTAGTTCCATTTCATCATGCTGATCATGCGGGTTCTGTGAATTTGGCTGCTCAACTTTATCATGTGGTGCATCTATTACTTCTGCAGCTGAAATAGAACCCTAATAGAGAAATGAACGCTGTTAGACTTCATTTTGTGAAACAGTTACTTCGAAAATAAGCAAAATATAAAGGGGCATACCTCCAAGCACGTCATCTCAACTGATGATGAGCCCACCTCTCTAGTGTGCTCATAAACTTTCATATCGTCCTGAAGAAATTAATAAATGGAAAACAAAAATATTATTGTAGCTGAAAAACAATTTTTGGGATCAGATCCTTGAACAAAGTAACAAACAAAAGAGACCAAAGCTATAATTAAAGAATTAAAGATGTCTACCATGTCGAAACAAGATCTGGTATAAAAGTTTTGTTATAATTTTTAAAGGGGGAGCTCGACTGTTCTCCTATTTTTAGGTGATACATATAGCAACCATAATATGCATATTGCCATTACACTCCACTACACTAATAATTCATATTAGTCAACAAATGCAACAAGTTTTAAACTACTTACCATGTAAAAATGTAGAGTTTCCATTTTTGGGTGTAAATGTTTGATTTAAAAAGGAATTATGGGTAGTTTCTTGTCTTTTATTTCTACATTTTCTTCGAATCGAGAAAAGTTGCTACTTGTTAAATCCCTAGTCTAATGTACTTGTTATTGAAACTTCAATATTTCAAATCTACAAGGTTATGTATATTTGCTGAATTTAAAAGGTTTCCCGAATGGTTAAGGTATTATGCGTAAGTATTATGCATTAAATCCAATCAATTTAGGTTGTTAACATTTTTAATATGTTTAATGCATTTATTTTGGAAAGATCTATTATTTATTTGAATTAATATTCTAATAAATTATATTAAATAATAGAGTCCGTAAATTTAATTCTTACTAATTTGTTAATCATAAGAAGTTGTGATTGTGAGATACAAATTATATATGACTAAATCTTAAATCATCCGCGGTTGTAAGTAAAAAAGAGATAGGGATATTGTTATTACAAATAGATCATTGGAGATACTTAAATGAACACGTGAATATTTTGTTTTATTATAAATAAAACATTGGAGACCCCCAGATAGATGACTATCTGAGTGTCAATGGGTAATCTCTAATGTTCAGCAGTGAAATTGGTCCTTCGACTTAAGGTCGTCATAGTGCTTTATATAAAGACATTCGTACTTTGGTGATATTGGACGTTGATCTGCCAAGAGTCGTTAATACGGCATCGTTCGGGTATGTCAAGAGTCATGCGAATGTTGTGAATGATTAATATAGGATTCGTCACTTTTATATAGTAAGGGATTGTGATCTGCATTTCATTCACTTAAAAATGGTAACGAAATCCTTGGCCAAGTATACTCATAAGTCGAAAAAAAGTATTTGACTTACATTGATTTAATTGTGGGATAAAGACATGATCAATAATTAGGCTTGACACATATCCATATCTCGTAATTGATTGAATCATATTGACGAACGAATCATAGTTTCATGATAAATGAAAAAGTTTGGTTTTGTCATATCACGTGACATTTTCCATCACAAATATTGTCGTCACACATTGCTAGATATCAATTTGGGATGACAGATGTGAATTGGTGATAAATTAAAAATGGATTAATTTATCATTTTGATTATATCAAAACAATAATTCTCGTCGTTAAGCGTCGTGATCGGGAACCTAATAGTTCACACACAAAAGGAGAACTAGAAGAATGAGATTAACTAATTAATTAACAAGTGTTGGAAAATTAATTAATTAAGTTACTTGTTAATGGCCCCATTATTTAATTGGCTTAACTAGTTCATGCATCGAATTTAATTAATTGGAATAATTAAATATTAGATTGGGTTAAGTTTAAGAGACAAAATAAGCCTACTTAAACTTTTAATAATTAAATATTAGCCCGGCTGCTAGGGTTTGAAAATTCTAAAATTGGTTCATTATTCATGTTAGCACAAGAAAAAACCCATAGTTCTCTCAATCTTGTTCGCTGTGTGAATTTCCTTTGGAAGCTGGATAATTGGACAATAGTAGATTGCACATCAGAGCTATTCTTCAAGGAATTCATCAAATGTATAATTCTTTGTCACAATTTCTCTCTAAACCCAAAGAAGATTATTTATGGGAATTGAAAATTTTGTTGAAACTCCACTATGCATGATAAGTAAATTTTCAATAGTGGTATTAGAGTTTACTTTGTGCTTGTTAGAAATTATTTTTGCATGATTGAACAATCAAAAGTTGATTGATATTATTTTTCTTGAATCTAGCAATTAGGAAAATTAATTTTCATATTCAAAAATCTGTTTTTGAAAATAAAAATAATTTTGGATTCAAATCGGATAGGAGGGATTACTGACGGCAACAATCGCGAACTCACGAACGCAACAGTGATGGTCGCTGCTACACATCACCACAACAACCATGTCGCTGTGGTAAAAAGAAACATCGTCGCGACGTTGCTGCTATTGTAGCAATTGTGCCGACTGCTATGTTATAGCAACGAGCGCTGCTACTCCTCCGATACACATCCCGTGTTTGACCACGGCGGCACACCACTGCTTGGCCCACACTAGTGGCGTCGCCTGTCGACCGCAATGAAGAAAGTGAATGGAATTTTAGGGTTTTGGTGTTTTGGGGACCGGGTATCTCTTTGTGAAATTGTGGGGACTTGTATGCAATTATGGGTTTAGGTTCATGTTTTAATTTTTTTTAAATAAGGACCTCTTTACCAATTTTTTTTAAATTGGAAGGGTCTCGTTATAATTTTAAATTGGGCCAAATTGCAATTTTTCGAAAGGGGTCTTGCATACAATTTTTAAAAGGGTTTCAAAATGATTTTGGAAATGTTTTGACCTATGCTATCGATTTTGACCCATTTAAAATTTTATTTAAAATTGACCACTTCCAATATTTTAGTTAAAATTGGATTTTAACTCAAATATTATACTTTGACCCTAAATTGAATTTTATTTTATTTAGGAGTTTTATCCTAAATTAAAATGTTAATTCAATTAAATTAGAGTTGGACTCTAATATAATATTTAATTAAAATTTGATTTTAATTAAATTATCCATCCCAATATATTTTTGAAATTAGAGTTGGACTCTAATTTGACATTTAATTGAAATTT